AGCTCCGCCTCCAGACCTCCAAAACTGTCATCGTCCCTCTTTGGACAGACCTCTCAGAGGCAGTGGTGGCACGAATTCGGGAATTCCTGCGCGAGCATATTCCCCAGTGGGCCAATATGAAGATCGCTTCCTACACCAAATACCTTGGGGTCCAGTTTGGACCTGGGGCGTCGGAGGCGCTTGCGTGGAAGGAAGCGGTCGCCAAGTGGTGGACCCGTTCGTTTGACATTCCCAGATCGGAGAGCCCCACCAGTGTCAGCCTGCTGCAATACAACAGCATTGCGTTATCTACTTTAAGCTACCTTGCACAGCTTTTCCCGATGGATCGCGAAGCCCTCCTGAAGGAAAAATTTGCCACCCACAAAGTCCTTCGGCTTCCACCCAGCACGTTTCGCAAAGCCGATGTTTTCTCTTTCACGGGACACGGTTTAGTGGCCCCACAATCCGCCCTGATTCTAGGAGCGGCTAGTATGTGGCGCTGCTCCACTCTCACAATCACTGACTGGGCAGCAGAGCTCGACAGGTGGCGAGAAACGGCGGCGCTGACCTGCCTCGTCGTTGGCTGGATCAAGGGAGGGTGGAGCGCCCCCTGCTGGATCCAAAAGCAGGGGATCGCCCAGCGTTTCGTAGATTTAGTAAATCGCCCACCCCGCCGAGGCATCCCAATTGTCCAGTGGAGAGCCTCGCACGCAGCAGGCCGCATGGAAACCCGTGCGGCGCAAGCGGTGGGCAAGAAGCCCAAGCTCCAGCGAGCCATCACCTCCTTCCTCCGCCTGAATCTCTTCCCCAATGAATTTGAAGTCACTATATCCAAGCGTCTGAACGCTTGGGGCCTTGCTGATAGCGTCGTGGGCGGGGTGGCGGAGCGGCGGGGGGATTGTCTTGCAACGATTAAGAAGTTCAAACCTGCATGGCAGTGGTCAATCCTAAAGACCCTCGCAGGCGGCTGGACCACCAGTCATCGTATCCACGTACGTGGGATCGTCAATTGCCTTTTTGGGTGCGCACAGATTGACTCGATTGCCCACTATTTTTCATGCCCTGTCCTCCGTTCCCTCATCGGCCTCCCCTCCAACCCACTGGCTTTCCTCGGCCTTGCGGCCGACAACGAATACAATTGTGAGAGCTGCACGTTCTCGCGCGCTGATGCGCTGCGTTTGACCGTGTTGGCATTCCATACTTACCATAAGGCGAAAGCTGTGGTGACCCATGGGGACCAGCTCACGCCAAGCCAACAGCGAGCCGCATTCGCAGCAGCGCAGCACGCCACTGACACTTAAAGCGGCTGACGGTGCGTGCGAACTGGCGCGCCTCAGGTACGGTCGATCATCATCATCATCATCATCATCGTCATCGTCATCATCATCATCATCATCATCATCATCATCATCATCATAATCATAATCATCATCATCATCAGAATCATCATCAGCAGCAGCAGCAGCAGCACCATCACCATCACCATTACCATCATCAGCAGCAGCAGCATCATTTGGTATATGGTGGTTCTGTCGATGCAGCAGTTCGACCACTCGGTTCCGACGCTGGGCCAGCGGGCCCGATGAGATGCACATTCGGAGGTTCTGCTTCGGAGGAGGGGCAGGGAGGGTGGGGTGGAGGTCGAGGTGGAGTGATGGAGGAGGTGGTCTAGGTGGAGGTGGGGGACGGAGGAGGGAGGACGGAGGGCGAAGAGGAGGAGGAGGGAGGGAGGAAAGGGAGGAGGGAGGAGGGAGGGAGGGAGGAGGGAGGGAGGGGAGGAGGGAGGAGGAGGAGAAAGGGGGGGAGGGAGGGATGGAGGGAGGGAAGGAGGAGGGAGAGGAGGAGGAGGAGGGAGAGTGAGGGCGAGATCGAGGAGTTCCTGATTCGGCACCAGCCGATCTTGGGGTCCGGCCGATGTCTGGGCACTCCCCTCGGGCGGGTCTCGGGGGCTTGGGCGTCGGCCTGCTCCGGTGGCCAGGGGGCCAAAAATTCGGGCGTGCAGCTGGCTTCGGCTATACACCGCCACGCACTTTATTCGATGCGTGGGTGCCTCCAGTCGAGCACCTCCTCGAGAAGTCCAGGCCCTCCTCCTCCTCGTCCTCCTCCTCCTCCTCCTCCTCCTCCTCCTCCTGCTCCTCCTCCTCCTCCTCCTCTTCCTCCTCCTCCTCCTCCTCCTCCTCCTCCTCTCGCTTTCTCTCCACTCGCAGGGGGTTCGATGTATACGCCACGTTGTTTGATCAAGCAAAGAGTTAAGTCGGACGGGGCTAGGACGAGGATAAACTCGTTCCAGAGCATTCCGGAACGCTCTCAGAGCGTACCGGAGCGCTCTGAGAAGGACGCGGCGCCCGAGATGTTCTCCAGAGTCGCCAGATATCAGAGATTCTCGATTTATCTTCGCCCGATCTAATCTTCGTCCTGGCTTCGTCGTATCCAGGCGCCGGGAGATGCAGATACATGCTGCTGATCCGCTACGGCAACCTTCGCGACCCCAGCGAGGGCGTTGAAGGTTGAGCGTTGCCAGCGGTCCAGAAGAATCGGCACGTCAAGGCCCACCAAACCACCCCAACCCAACCCGAAGGCCCCGATTTGCCTTCCATTTCCGGTGGGGAGGGGGGTCGGGGACCATTGAAAAAACGCATTTGAACTCGTACCCCATCCCAACCGGAAATTCGAGCGAAATTCGGGTCTTCGGATCAGGTTGGGGTGGTCTGGTAGGTAGTCAGCACGAGCTATCGGAAAGCCGCGATCGTTCAGGCTTGGACGATCCGTGCCGTGTCAGAAGCCAGCGCCCACGGCATCGCAAGGTGCATCCTCCGTGGGCCGGGGACTCCACGTCGGGCCCGTGGTCTCGATTCTGCCGCGTTCCTCGGGAGAGGTACCAGAAGGCTAGTGCTAAGTCGGGCCTGTCCCTCTACAGGAGAAGTATTCAAAAAGAATCAAGAAATAGTCTGGGGAGGATTGTTTGCGATTAATATGTTTGGGCATTTTTGGTGCAGGTCCAATACTCTATGCCCGTCGGGGCTTCCCCTCTGTCTCGCACCTCTCTCGCACCGAGTATTCCCGCTCAGTCTGCCAAGGTGGTGCGAGATCGAGCTTATGTTCGCACACGCACGTCGTATCAAGGAAACGCGCTTTTCCGCCGTCCGAGGTCTTTGGATGCTGCACATGCGTTGGGCATATATATTATGTATATAGATATAGATATTTAGATACACGAGGAGGAGAGATAGA